TATGGCTTGATGATTTATACAACTTGTCTTTATCAGTTCATCATGTTAAATAATCCTTTTCAATATATTTTATGGCAGTGTGAAACAGCTTTGGACACGAAGGGCGGTGATGCTGGTACAACGAAAAAATTAGATGTGAATACGGGATTAAGTGAGGAGGTGAATGGCACAACTGAAGTGGTTGGCGAGTACAGTGATGGAAATGACTACAAGGGTGACTTGAACAGTGAAGGGCTTAAAGATGAGGTTGAGGTTGAGGTTGAGGGTGAGGGTGAGGATGATGAAGAGGATGATCTTGAGCATCCTGGTGAAGTCTCGATGGGAAAGAAGCTTTGGAATTTTTTCACCACTTAATGGTCCGAATCTTATTCCTAGTTTGGCAAATATCAGTGAGATCTTTGATTGTATCAGCTTTTTTTAGGTTTGTTGGTTGGAACACCTTGATCTAGTATTGTGTATTAACAATTTAAATGTAGTTATAACCAGAAAATATTAATTCTGGAGGGAGATTGGGTTTTCTTCACTTTTTTGTTTTTTTAGGGTTCAGGATCTTGTGCTTTTTGTATTCTTTTGTAGTACTGTCCTGGATGATTTGATGTAGCAATGACCAGTGCATATTCAATGCTGGACTGGCTTCTTCAACCATATTGTTTGTATGTTATAGTACATGTATTTTTCATCTTTGCTGAATAACTATTTGACCTCCGTGAACCCAATTAGTCTCTTGAGCTGTAAAGTTGTTAAGAGATTCATTGTTAGATTGTGGAAGCCGGGATTAAATTTATTAATTTGTGTTTCATACCGTGTTTGATGTATAATGATACAAATTATTAAAATATAACACAATATAAATTAAAACATGTATTTAAATTTTAAATACAAATATAATATATTTAATATATGAGTTATGCATGATAGGATATGATTAATACGAATAATAAATTTATTTAAATACGATAAAAAAATTACGAATAATATAAATATATATAAATGAATATAATTAAAATAGATATATATGAATAGATATGATTAATATGAATATATATAAAAATATGATTAAAATAATAAATAATTATAGATTATTTATCATTTATAACTTAATAAATTTGACATATTAATAATATAAAAAAACTTACATATTAAAAACTAAGAAAAAAGTAATACTCATTTAATATATATATTTAAATTTAAATTTATATTATATAACTATATTAATTTTTAATATCAAATTCAAAATAATAAATTACTCAAAATTAAAGAATAAAATAATAATATATAGGACTAATATTAATATTTATATTATATTTATATTATTAATATAAAAAAATAATTTTATAATAATTATCAAATGAGTATCATAATTATATATTTAAAATAATTTTTATATGATATTAAATAATTAATTATCATAATTAAAAAATTAAAAATTAAAATAAATTTTATATGTTTATATTAAATTAAAATAAATATAAAAATATGTTAATATGTACTTATATAATAATATTAAATTAAATATATTATTCATGTTTAGATAATTCAATATATATATGATAAAAATTATATCGTATCAAAATTCGTATCTATATAAATAAATATAAAACATATTTTTTTAAAAAAAGATATATATATATATATATAAAATTTTCATATTATTTTTATATAATATTATTGTAATGTGTCTGAAATTATTAAATCTATCTTGCAAGCCGGAAAATTTATTTTGATCGTACATCTATTCTGGATATCGTGTCTTTTTCATGTTGTATTATATTATTCGGTTCAAGCAATAAGCACCTTTTTAAATGGTTCTGAGAACTTTGCACAGCTTTACTTAGCACTATGCCACGTGCATTTGGTGCCGTCTAAGAAACACTCCTCGGCCCACGGTTGGGATAGGATGAGATGACCAAAGGGAACGGGAATTTTTTTCCCACGGCGCATTCCCTGTTGGACATGAGCAGCAGCCCACTCAGCAGCTATATTGGCTTCTCTTCTAACCAAATCTTTTTGCTTCATAGATATGATCGCTCCAAACAATTCCTTACAATTCACCTCAAAAACATATGGTTAGACAGAGTAGCAGCTGATGGAACATCCTTTAAGAGGGTAAATTTCATAAAACATGTGGCAGTATGACCATGGAAGTACTAGTAACTCTTATCAAAAATAGATTTCAGTGTGATTGAATAATAAAAGAATAATACTTAAATTTAATTTCGATGAATCATTTAATTTCAATATCAATGCTTTTATCGATTTTTTTAAATTTATTAAAAAATCTCAACGGCATTTAGATATACATGTACGTCTTTTTCACATATTTGAAGTTTTTTAATGGTACTAGAGATATATTTAAGTGACAAAATAGTTAATTTAAAACAAACACCAATTTTTAAAATTTTACAATGTATATTATTAGTGTTGAACTTCAACTTAAGAGTGTTCCTGTAAGTGTAGAAAGAAAGAATGGTTAGAGATAAAAATAAAAGGCATTCTATGCGTCTGTGCATGAGAAAAAAAAAAAAAAAGGAATGAGATGAATCTAGCTTCATGCTGAGTTTTTATATTTATAATCTTTACGAGTCTTCATATTTATAATTTTATATTTATAAATAAGTTGAGAGGATAAAAAAGAGACAATTAAGACATGATTGAATTGAAATGTCATTGATCATATTAGATCGATTTGACATATTAAATTTGTATAAATGATCAAAATAGCTTGATTATTTATTGAAGACTTTAAGAGAGAAAAATATCACTATAACTTTTTTATCATTATATACCCTAACACATTTATAAAGAAAAATATATTTTTTTAAATTTTATTTTATTGATTATTGATTATATCATAGTTAATATTTATTATAAATATTTTTATTTAAACAATTAAAACATGGGCGAGTTTAGAGAGTAATTTTTAAAAGCAAAATGATCAAATCGGGCTAAACAAGTTTGAAACTTGTTAGTATCTTATTTAGACTAGATCCAATTTATAAACAGGTGTAACATGCATTAAGAAATTAAAATACTTCCAATCAACGTAAGGTTTTCAATCTATTTTCATGGTGTTTGCTCAAATTTTTAATAAAGCTGGTTAACAACTAAATGAACATATAAAGAAAAGCTCAAGCACAGTTGAAATAAAAATGCAAGTGAAAATTCATCAAAACCGTAGCAAAAATTAAATTTGAAAATCTGAAAAACAGAATTGAATCAACTTGAAATTAGAAGCTCAAATTGAATTAAATGCTTAAAAGAAATGCAAGTAAATTGAATTTACAACTAAAAAATCTAATTGAAAGCTTAAAGGAAGTATATTGAAAAATGCCAACCAAACAGCCAAAACTTCATGGAGAAGCGGCAAAACTGTTTGGCATCCAAGAAACTCAAAGAAAACCGTTTACTACTGCTCCTAATCTACTCTACACTTTCAATTGGCAGCTGAATGGGGTATTTATAGGCAGCTTTGAGGTGTCAAAAACCAATGGCCTCCCTCCTTTTGTCCAAGTCAGCAGCCAACTCAGCAAAAGTTTGTCGGAGAGGTTCCAAATGTGTAACTAATTACCAAAGTTAAGTGTAAAATTTGCCGAAGTTCACGAAAACCAAAAGATTCATTTTTTTGTAAGGAATTGGAGTTTGTTGAAAAGCAAAATACTTCAAATTTTGCCTATTTAAAAAAAAAAAAAGAAAGAAGGAAACAATATCGACCATGAACTATATATGTTATTTATTTAAGGTTTCTTATTTCAAAGAAAGAAATGTGGATGTTTGTAAAATTTATTTTGTTTCTATTTTTCTAACCCACAACAAACTGACACTAGTAACAGTTCAAACTACTCTCTTTGTCTTAGTTAAATTGTTATAGTTGATTTTTAATCAAAATTTCCAAATTTTGACTTTCATCATCTTAATCATTTAAATTTTAAATCATAAAATTTAAAAATTTTAAAAAATTAATAAAATTTGATTTTCAGATTTTTAAAAATATATTTGTAAAAATTTTAATTTAATATAATATTTTAAAAATAATAATCAAAATTAAATTCATTTAACAAAAAAATTAATAAGAAGTATAAAAAACGGAGCAAAGGGAGGAATACTTATATGTGTACCTTTACTAAAAATCAAACTTGTACTTTGTTATAACATTTCATTTGTCTCTATAAGGTCTGACCACACTGAATTTAAATGTCAAAACCTTTAAAAACATTTAGTAAAATTTTTTGGAACAACAAAAAGCATATGTATTATTGTCTGGAAAAAAAATACGTATTGTAAAATAATTCAGATAACATATTCAAAATTAATTATTGAAAGGATTTTTGTACTTTAATAAACAAAAATGTTAGTAATGTTGTTTATTCTCATAGCTTTGCTTTTCTTAAAGCCAACGCCAATAGCGTTAAAATTTTGATTAATTATCTGCAAAGACTAAAGAGATGTCTAATTAAAAATAATAAAAAAAATGCATAGACAGTAATTTTTTTGTCATGACATCAATCTAGTGTGGGATGCTTGCGTGATAGAGAAAAGGTCCAAAGAGTCATTTTCCTAGAAAAAAAAAATAGCAAATCCTGCTTTCTATCTTTTTTCACAAGTTATTAGAATACTAAAGCGTAATAGTATTAGTATGATGCCATGTATCCATACAAAAAACTATTAAAATTTTATTAATGTGATCAAAATATTTAAACATGTTCTATTATTTGAAACGGACGAGTTTTAATCGATTTTATCGATTGAAATCAATTAAATTTGATTAGTTGAATTTAAATAATTTTACGGTAAATAAATTTGTTAAATAGTTTATTTTTATATTAATTTATTAATTTTAAAAATATATTGGATATAGGGCAATTCTTTTACTTTCATTGGTGGAATGTCCATGTGAGTCAAGCTTTGAATATGTCAATCAAATGGGAAAGGAACTTAAAAGGAAAAAGTAAAAAAAAAATCCCAAGGTAACAAGAATAAAGCAAGGAAATACTAAGTTTTTCTAAAAAAGCAAAGCATTGAAATTATGAAGGAAAATTAAATGATTCCCAATGACAATATTTTATTGGAAAGTTGCAAACGATAAGACCAAAACCCTGTCAAAATCATCTCTCTCTTGGATGGAGCATTAATATATAAAAAAAAAAAAAAAAAAATAATGGGAGAGGGATTCAAAGAAACATAGTCGAAAGATTTATGGTTGATTTTTGCAGCATCTTCCTTCTTACTTCTACATTGCATTGCGTTTGGCAGTTCATCTTCGGTAGCTGTAGTTTAGAAAATGAAGGGTCAATTGTCATGGCTTTTTGGGGTCATGATTTTGATGGCTGCTATGGCAGAAACCCAGATGCTGAAAATATCAAACTACCAGTTTGGGCCATTTGACAGTTCCTACTACAACAGATTGGCAGTTCTAAAGCCAGCTACAATCAGCAACGATGCCCTTCAAATCACCCCTGATTCCATTGGTAATTTCAGTCTCAGCGACAGGTCTGGCAGAATCTTCCTCAATCAAACTTTCAAGCTCTGGGATGGAGATCCCAAGGAAACAGCAGTTTCCAGGGTGGCTTCATTTAATACTTCTTTTCTTATCAATGTTTTTCGAGTTAATGACTCTGTTCCTGGAGAAGGTCTTACTTTCCTGATCGCCCCTGATCTCATCCTTCCTCCTGGTAGTTCTGGCCAATATCTAGGATTGACAAACTCATCCACCGATGGCCTTTCTTCCAACAATTTTGTAGCCATCGAACTCGACACCTATAAACAGGATTTTGATCCAGATGACAACCATATTGGTCTAAACATCAACAGTGTTCATTCTAACAAGACTGTGTCTTTGTACGAATTTGACATCCAAATTGCTCCAAATGGTACCAAGTTTTACGTCGTGTGGATCGAATATGATGGTAAAAACAAGTCAATAAAAGTTTACATGGCAGAGCAGGAGCAGTTGTCTTCGCCAACACCTTCCAAACCCTCCACTCCTGTCCTCAGTGCTGATCTTGATCTCAGCAGCTTTGTCAAACAGAACTCTTATTTGGGTTTTTCGGCATCAACAGGGAGCCATGTTCAGCTCAACTGTGTGCTCAGATGGAACTTGACTATGGAAGTGCTTCCTGGTGGGAACAAAGTAAAAAATTGGTTCAAGATTGGATTGGCAATTGGAGTTCCAGCAGTGGCACTTTTCCTGCTTGGAATTGGAGGGTTGACTTATTATTGGTACAAGAAATGGAGGGCCAGATCTGACCCTAACATATTAGGAGCACTCAAGAGTCTTCCGGGGACTCCCAGGGAGTTCCGGTTTAAAGATCTGAAAAAGGCTACCAATAATTTTGATGACAAGCATAAGCTGGGTCAGGGTGGATTTGGGGTGGTCTATAAAGGGCTGCTGCAGAAGGAGAATCTGGAAATTGCAGTGAAGAAGTTTTCCAGGGACATTAAGGGTAAAGATGATTTCTTGGCTGAGCTTACTATCATCAACCGCTTGCGCCACAAGCATCTTGTCCGCTTGCTAGGTACCCTATACTCTCAGTTACTATCATTAAGATTTAGACATTGACATTTATTCTCATAATTAATTTTGGTCTTGAAAGCTTCCTCCTTCTGTTTCTTGAAAGTACAAGACATCTAATTTTGCAGTGTATCTGTCATACTGAAAAATGAGATGAAGGGAAGATGGGTTTTTTAATAAAATGAAAAATCGATCAGATCTGAATTAGATTTTGGAGTTTATTAGATTTTTTATTTACAATAAAAATTATTATTCTTCATGACTTGATACATAAAGCATACCTTTTTGGGTTACTCAGGGTATGTTTTGGGTTAGAACTCAAAAACAACTCTTGTTTCTAAACATTAGAAACATCAGTCTGTTTGAAATTTCTTTGAATTGGTCTTGCCCAATGAAACATCACATGACAACGTGCAAGAGTTACAGTTTTAAGAATCCAAAGACATTAGTTTATTCATAGCAGTTATCTTCAATCAGTATATAAAGTTTGTTATAGCTGCTTCATCACATGTTTTCTTGCAATTTTTAAATTCACCAGGATGGTGTCACAAGAATGGTCTGCTGCTTTTAGTGTACGATTACATGCCAAATGGGAGCTTAGATACTCATATATTTTGTGGGCCGGAGAATACAACACTTAATTGGAATTTAAGGTACAAAATTATATCAGGAGTAGCATCAGCTCTACACTATCTTCACAATGAATATGACCAAAAAGTGGTGCACCGCGACCTTAAGGCTAGCAACATCATGCTGGACTCCGACTTCAATGCCCGGTTAGGCGATTTCGGATTGGCTCGGGCCTTGGAAAATGAGAAAACTTCTTATGCAGAGCTGGAGGGAGTGCCTGGCACCATGGGATATATTGCCCCAGAATGTTTTCACACTGCCAAGGCTACCAGGGAGTCTGATGTTTATGGCTTTGGGGCAGTGTTGCTAGAAGTGGTTTGTGGGCAACGTCCATGGACTAAAATAGGTGAATTCCTGCTGTTGGTAGATTGGGTTTGGTGGCTACATAGAGAAGGGAGGATACTTGAGGCAGTGGATGAGAGGTTAGGTAATGACTATGTTGTTGAAGAAGCTGAGAGATTGTTGTTACTTGGTCTAGCATGTTCACATCCTATTGCTAGTGAACGGCCTAAAACTCAGGCAATCTTCCAGATTTTATCAGGGTCCATGGCTGTGCCGCATGTTCCACCGTTCAAGCCAGCTTTTGTTTGGTCTTCTATGCCTGGACCTGGCAGTTTCAGCATCACCTCCTGCAGCGTGACTAAAACTGCTGATATCACTCCTATCTCATCAGGATGGACTCCACAATACATTAGCAGAGATGTTCAAGGTGAATTCAGTGACAGCAACTCTCTCATGTGACAAATAATGATGGCTTTGATTCAACATGTTTTTGTTAAAAAGAGAATCCACTTCTTCTTTTTCTTTTTTTCTTTTTTTTTTTTTACTATTTTTTCTTTAGCTTTTCTTGTACTAGGGAAGTGGGAAAGTCCATGCTTACTAGCTTCACAATAATCTGATTCAATGTTCCTTGTGTTTTTTTTTTGGTTTGATTTATGATTGGGGAGGGACTGCAAACGTACATTCTGGATTATATATATTGTTCTGTTTCCCTATTTTTTAAAAATAAAGTTGTATATTTGAAAAAAATTATTTAATAATCAAGTGGGGAAGTCTGAAGAGAAGGGATTTGAATTTTGAACTTTAATCCTATTAAGGATTGTCACAACCTACAACCACCAAGTCGAAGCATTATTTGTTGCAAGAAAATTTTACCCAAAGATGCAATTGGAATCAAAAAGGGAAAAATTCTAATTGTGTGATTGAATTGAAATCAAAAGGAGACAACCATGTAACCATAATGGAATTAAGGGAGAATGGATTGAAACAACAATTATAAAAGTGGAAAGTTTTCTAAGACATCATCAATTCCCAACCAGTTGTGCTACTAGTGGTTAAAAATGTTCTTTAATTGCAACATAGAGAGATCTAATTTTCATATATATTTTTTTTCAGGCAATTTAAAAGTGTTCAAGAAGAACAAACTTTCATAATTATTTTTATTATTTTCACCAGAATTCTTAATTCATTTTTATTTAATATTATAGACTTCTTATTCTAAATGCAAGATTTTGGTCAAATGTCAAAGGATGACCCCAGGCTGTGTTCCCACTTTCTACTCTCCTAGAGGTTCAAAAACTTAAGGAATCCCTTTTGGCATCTTTGCTTTGTTGGCCAGATTCTCTTTCCGCTTCATTGTTGAGCACTACCACAGCTCATATTATTGTCTGGTTTGGCACAAATTTTCAAAGGTTAGATTCCCATTTTCTTCTTCCTTATGCAAGTAAAACGTCATTTATTTCTTATTGCCATTTGATGAAATTCATAACTTCCAAATATATGCCCACAAGCCATTAATGGCTTGTCTAAACTATGATGTAGTGAATGCATTTTAAAAAGTACTCTTAGAAGATCTAAACTGATGATTTGCAACTTACCCTTCTTAAGATATCGACAATACTTGAGCTTCTTTTGAGGGAAAAAAAGGGAAAATGTTGAAATAATTAGGTTTTCATACGATGGAGACATTGCATGTTTGTCATTAGGATATGAAAATGGTAAATTGATGGGATGCTGATATGATATAGCACAAGGTGGAAAAAACTTACAATTTATCCTTTTTTATGTTCTAATGTTTTGAGTATTACTGTATTTTAATTGGATCAATTAATTATGCTATAAAGTTACCTTTGAACTTGATTGTTAAGCAAGTTGTTATTATTCCTTGGGCAGTTGGACTGACATTTCAAACCCAAAAAAAAAAAAAAAAAAAAAGGTAGTGATATTTGAATTCAACAAATAGTGCCATTTTTTTTTTTTTTAATACTCAAGGCTACTAAGATTTGAACTCTGATTACTAGAACAAAGAGTTCAACACGCTACTATAGACCAAATGGCCGTTGGCAAACAGTGTAATGTTTTACTATTTGGTCTTAATGAACTACAGAAAAATTTCATAAGAGTTGAATCTTGATTTATCTGGTTTATGTTAAATTCAAAAGGAAAGTTTTTGATTTATTAGATTTACGTGCAACTTTATTTCCAACGGTTGTGCTTGAAACCTGTTGTGCTCATATAGCAACATGGAATCATGGATTTAGTTGTTGTAGCAACTCCATTTCAACATACCTCCTTGAGCTAAATGCATCTGGTGTATGTTGAATGTTTTCTGGTGTTGAAATCATGTGCTCATGGAGGCAGAGCCTTTTGTCCTCCTTGGGAGCAGAACACTAGCTGATGAGGATTTCAGGAAGGCATGCAGTTGACATAGATGGATTAAAATAACTGTCTACAGACTGATTCAGCAGATGAAAGTGATTTTGAAAAAGAAATTGATTCTTAAAATGATCATAGCCACAGGTCAGTCAGTCATCTTCAAAGGCAGATCAGGAGATTGAGAGCGAGTTAAGGAGGTTTGACAGGGTTTGAAGGATATAAAGGCACAAATACGAGGTAAACACACTATAGTTCTCACAATTGAATCTATGATTTTACGAGGGAACCATACTGCATTTAGTTGTCAAATTATTGTTATTATCATGCTATTGAAGAGAAATAAATTCAGCAAATGTAAGTTACTTTTGATTAAAGCCTTACATTCTTAATCATGTAAAGCGTATATAGTTATTGTCATTTTTGCACCTTTTGAAGCAAACTCTGGTTTTGTATCTTCATCTATCTCAGTTTTTCTTTCTGTTTAAAACTAATAAACCTTTAAATAATGCTCTCCACTGAGTTAATCAAGAATCAAACCAAAAAAAAATTGAGTTGAGTCACAAGCAAGGTTTGTACTTCCCTCATTGTCCTTGTAACCTGCTAATATAATTAGAGTTTATATTTGATGCACAATATAAATGCTATAAGAAGCATGCAGAGACGCCTAATAAAAAAATTAATTTTAAAATTTTAAAATCCTAAAATGTAAATACACTTAATATTATTAATATATTTAAAATTAATTTTTTATAGGCAGTAGCATATATAAAATATAAATAAATATAATTATGCTATTTTATAACTACTGTTTTTGTTTTTCTTTCATATAATTGGAAAACACATCTACAATATAAAGAGAATACAAGCTAATTATCTGTTCCTGAAAAACGGTTGATTAAAGACATAAGATTAGCCTCCTCTCATATTAGAAGCATATTGCAAGTTTTTAAATTCTTTTTCTCTTTTCATATAGTTTTTGGTCAATAACAACTAATAGGAAGAACTAATACAAGAAAATAGAGTAGACAAATATAGTGATGTATATAGTTATTGCTGTGCTTGTCCTGTACTCATGGATTATTATGGTGATATTCATGCTCCAAGTTGGTTTAGATCATGGATGACAAATTTAGATGATTACAGTCATAAGTTGACAATCTGGATGGAAACTCATGAAACATACCGAATTCTTGTTCTTGCAAGCCAACAAAACCAGAACGATTGCCTCCAAAGTCTGCAGGTAGCAACATGGACATCTTATATGCAAATGTGTCTTCATCTTCCTGTCCCATATGCATGCTGTGCAAGTTTGTTTCCTCTATCAAATTTCTATCAGGTTCACCTGTTATGGAGTTATTGCTAATATTATAGTTGAAATAGTTTCCCACATCATCTTCAACCTCATAACCAAAAGTACTTCCATGCTTCACTTCATCAATCCCATTATTCTTTTTCTTGTCACCTTTTATGAATTTGAAGTGATTATTTGGAAACCAAAACTCTGCATGTTTTCCAGATTTTATCAACTTCTTGATTAATTTAGTTGGATCTACTTTTCCTGTTACTTTAACCACTTGGTGTTCTTCATCTATGTGAACTGAAAAGACCCCTGAATCCAGAAGCAAGACCGAAAGAAATCTCATCAAACAAATTAGCAACAATTGATTAATAACAATACTAAAGTTTCTAAAAGCACGGTGAATAACATTATGAAAAAAATCAGACTAAATGTAATAAAACCTTCAATTCCCCGAAGAAGTTTCTTAACTCTCTGCTTGCACCCTTCACAATTAATGTTTACTTTGAGCATATATGTCTGACAGAAAAAGAGGTAAACGCTTTAGTGAATGGCCATCATGAAGGTAATAATAAAGAAAAAAAAAAAGAAAAAGTTGAAATGGGAAGAAACCTCAATCTTTTCGATCTCCAGACCAGTTCTTAACATTTTTAAACAATGTTTGTTATGGAATAAAAATGCTAATTTTGTATGTTCTTGTTCTTAACATTCAGCAACTCTGTTTTGCTTATAAAGATATTGAACAGAAGCAAATACTGTGTGACTGTGAGGGAGCAAGGACCACAACAGAGAAAAGAGTGGTTAGGTCTAAAAAGTATGTGATTTGACTTAGCTCATGCAGAATTGACACCTTTGACAGCAACAGGCACAGTCCATATGCACCATTTTCTCGTGAGTTTTGGCCTGGTTCACTGTTCACGGCAAGCCTGCTGCCATATATTTGTTTAGAAGCATTTGAGTTGTTTCTTGGTTTCATGGTCTATGCTGATATGTTTTTGTGATAATGTCAATTTTTTTGTACTGGATTGTAAGGGAATCTTGTTCACATACTAGCCAGCTGCCAATCAAAACTGCTATTAAAAGGCATAGGTGCTAAAACTAGTGAAATGCAGTCCAAGCAAACTTTAGGCTTGATATTGACAAACACTAGTAAATAATGATTTTGTTTAAGGGTATTAAATTAGTTTTTTTTTTTTCTAAATATGCACAAAAAACATGTATTGCTCTATTAATCCCAATTGTGAAATTAAAAAGTTTTAGTAAGAACGTATCTGATAATATCTCTAATAATATTGACCTTGTTAAACTTTAACTGTTTCTTGGTAAAATTTTTGTTCAGTTTTGATTAGAGTGATATTTGGAACAAGTCAATAGGAAGGACAAACTAATAGCATGGAGAATCTTTTCCCTGTATCAAAATAAATAAAAAATATAAGTTGAAATTAAGATGTTGTTTGATTAACTGGAAAAAATTAAGTGATAATTTTTAATATTGAATTTGAATTATAAAACTATTTGGTATTTTTATTGAAAATAAAATGTTGAATATAAATATATTGAAAATTAAATGTTAAATATAAATATATTGTTTGATAACTTAAAATGTTGATCGATTCGAAAAATTATTTATTTTAAATTTTTACTTTTTTTATTATATTTTTTATTATTTCATGTAAAAACAAATTTTAACTTAATTTGTTGGTTTGGTAAAATTCTGTTTCTATCCAATTGAGATAAGGTTACGATCATCTTTTTGGGAATTTTTTTGGAATTGTCATTTTTTTTTTTTTAATTTCATCATATCTAAAAAGAGATTTATATTTGTACAGAAAACGTGATATTTTTATTTTCTCAAGTAGATTTCTAAAAGATTTTTTTATAAAATTAGAGAAATATTCAAAGATACAAGTTAATTAAAATATTCTTTTAGATTTGATTTTATTTTTCGATATCCCTTTATCCGAACATTTAAAATAAGAATTATATCTTATCAAAAAGCAAACACTCAAATTCAATTAAAATTAGTTGTTTAAATGCTAATAAAATCCTTCCACATCCCTATAAATAGACGTCAAAAGCAAATTTGTTTTCATTCAAAGTCATTATGAAAAACTTTGTAATTTTATTGTTGTTGTCAGTCTCGTTTATATGGCATGTAAATGCCAATGCATGGCAGCCGAATTTTGACACTGGAGGCTTAAGTAGAGCTAGTTTTCCAAAAGGTTTTGTGTTTGGAACGGCAGCATCGGCATATCAAGTTGAAGGAATGGCTAGTAAAGAGGGTAGAGGACCTAGCATATGGGATGTTTTTGTAAAAGTTTCAGGTTAAACGAAATGATTTTAATTTCTATTTTAATTTTTAGTTTTTTAAATGTTATTTTTTTTAATTTTTAATGCTAAAAGAGGTAAATTATATGATATATGCAACAGGAAATATTAAAAATAATGCTACTGGTGAAGTTTCTATTGATCAGTATAATTGTTATAAGGTCTGATTTTTTTTTTCATTTTTATTTTTTATTAAGACAAGCAATTTGATTTAATTTGGTCAGGCTCATTTTTTTCACTATTTCCATTGGCAGGAAGATGTTAATCTGATGCAAATGATGAACTTTGATGCCTACCGGTTTTCTATCTCATGGCCGAGAATTTTTCCAAGTACATATACCATCTATGTTAATTATAAAATTGGCATACGCATTTCACTTTTTGACTAATTAATGGTTACATTCATATCTTTATGTAGATGGCACCGGAGAGGTGAATTGGAAAGGAGTTGCCTACTACAATAGATTGATAAACTGCATGCTTGAGAAAGGTATATAAATTAATTTCAATATTATGAACCATATTGTTGAGTATAACTGAATAATCTCATTGAAATCTTTTGGAAATTGTTGGTTTGCTGTCTAGAATGCAGCAGATGTTAAAGGCTTAATGAGAGAAATATTGAACATTTGGATCTGATGTATGACACATTGCAGTATTCTAGCTATAATTTTGTAATCTGGAAGAAATATGTAACCTTTGTTATCCATGTAGGAATCACCCCACATGCGAATTTGTATCACTACGATCTGCCACTTGCACTTCAGGAAAGATATGGAGGTTTCCTGAGTAGGCAAATTGTGTAAGTTGAGAGACAACCTCTCTTTTCAGTGGAAGAAACCATCAACTTAGAAAATTGTCTAAATCGTAAAATTAATTTACAATGATATGAATCTTGCAGCAAAGATTATGCTGATTATGCAGAATTCTGTTTCAAGACATTCGGTGATAGAGTAAAGAATTGGTGGACGTTCAATGAACCAAAAGTGATTGCTTCTCTTGGATTTGACAATGGCATTAATCCTCCAAATAGATGTTCAAAGGAATTTGGAAATTGTACTGAAGGAAACTCTGCAACCGAGCCTTATATTGCAGCACATCATTTGATTTTAAGTCATGCCGAAGCTTCCAAAAGATACCGTGAAAAATATAAAGTAATGATTATTTTGAGATCATCTAAATCAATTGATTTTTAATCTATCTTCTTGATATATAATCTAATATCTTATTTGAATGATTTTGATGTGCCTTTCAGCCAAAACAGAAGGGAAGAATTGGTATCTTCACGGACTTTGTTTGGTATGAACCTCTTACAAAATCAAAGGCTGACAACTATGCAGCACAAAGGGCAAGAGACTTCCATATTGGATGGTATAATCTCTGAATACGTACTGTAAATGTAGTCATTTATGTTCTAATTGTTCAATTAAATAGAATAAATCAAATATTAGGTATCCAGAGCTCCAAAATAGCAAGCTGTGCTATGTTGCTTGGATTTCATTTTCTTCGAAGGATTCGTCCTTATGAAATTCCAGTCATTGGAATATATAAAAAAACATTAAAAAATTGACATATATATTATATATACACACATATATATATATATATATATATATATATATATATAACCAAGTCGTTTAAGGAGGGAATTATTTTGAAATTTCTTTTGCAGGTTTTTGCACCCTTTTGTGTATGGAGAATATCCAAGAACAATGCAAAAAATCGTAGGAGAAAGGCTTCCAAAGTTCAGCAAAAATGAAGTGGAGATTGTTAAAAACTCCTTTGATGTTCTTGGTCTCAACCACTATACTTCTTACTACATGTATGACCCACATCAGCCTAAGCCCAATGTGACTGGTTACCAACAGGATTGGAATGTTGGGTTTGCTTGTAAGTCATCTATCTTTCATATTTCATTGAATAAAAAATTTTCTATTGTTTTGATGATGTAAACATTCCTGTTTTTGTTCCCTCTCACAGTTGAACGTAATGGAGTGCCAATCGGTCGTCAGGTAATCTTTGTGCTTTCCACTTTGTCTTAAATTCTCTAGCCAATTCTAGCACGTGTTAATACGAATGCATAAAAAAATTGCAGGCTCACTCTCAATGGATTTATCAAGTTCCATGGGGCATTTACAAAGCTGTCACATACGTCAAAGAGCGTTATGGAAACCCCGAAATAATTCTCTCAGAAAATGGTAAAATTGAAGTTTTATTTTTCCTCGTGTCATCTTTGTAAACCATGCAAGGTTATTCATTTGTTTGGTTAATTGCAGGAATGGATGACCCTGGCGATGTCCCATTTCCTGAAGCATTGTTTGATACAACTAGAGTGAACTATTATACAACCTACTTGAAGGAATTGAAGAGAGCTATGGATGATGGAGCCAATGTCACTGGCTACTTTGCTTGGTCAATGCTTGACAACTTTGAATGGTTGTTAGGTTATACCTCAAGATTTGGCTTGATTTATGTTGATTACAATGATCTCAAGAGATACCCAAAGATGTCAGCATATTGGTTCAGGCAGATGCTTCAAAGAAAGAAAGCTTAGGTTTATTTCGTAGGTTTTTCAGGTTTTTTTATGTTTCTTAGTGCTTTTGTTTTTAGTTCTTTTGGCGTTCACAACTTCTTATTGTTATCTAAAATAATTATATTTTGGAGTTTCTGTAATAAAATTATTGCAAGCCAAAGTTTCATTTGGTATGGGCCCTTTTCTTCCCTCTTTCTCTTCTCTTTTTTGTTGGAATCATGCTCACTACTGAAACCTAAAAATATGAAAAAGCCTTGCAGTTTTTGTAATTGAACCATTTGTTGCCTTTAATTTTTTACAAATACTTTTATCATATTTTTACATAAGTAGAAATTCCAACTATTTTTTTTTTCTTTTCATACCATTTCATTCCTATTTAATAATAATAATAATAATAATTGTTTGTTTTTTGCACACTTGATTTTTTTCTATTAATTTATTTTAATGATTTCATATTACATAAAAAATTAAGTAACTTAGTTTTAATTAGTTTTCAAGCAACTTCTTGAGTGTTAGTTTAACAATTTGTTTAGAGTTTCTTCTTTTCACAGGGAGTTTAGTACGGGGAGAGTAGTAGCTTGAGAGTAGTGGCAAGAATAAACCAGACCCTTACCCTCACGGAAGAAGAGAAGGAAAGTATTGAATCATGGGAAACAACCACTAAAATAGGGCTTGAGGAAGGAGAAACTTTGTTGTTGGGAAAACTGTTTACCAAGCGTCCATTGATGTTATGATAAGGCGTGATACCCCAATCCCATAATAGGAGATTTTAAAGATAGGTATCACGTCAATCTCATATTGGAAAATTAAAACTTATGAGACGTTTTTTATGAGATAAAATCTAAGATTTTCAGATTAAAATAGATAATGTCTCGTAGGTTGGGTGTAAATTTTCATAAATAAACAATGTCTCATAAGTTAGGTGTAAATTTTCATAAATGATATCAAAATAGTTATTAGTCGAAAAGAAAGATACATTAGATTTATTTCTTAGGTTTTTCAGGATTTTTTTCATGTTTCTTAAGGCTTTTGATTTTAGTTCTTTTTATGTTTACAATGTCTATCATTATATTTAAAATAATTATATTTTAGTTTTTGAAATAAAATTATTGTAAGTCAAAATTTCCTTTTGTTAAAGCCATCATGCATTCATGGATGGAAATGACATGATCGTTGACTTGATGATGTAGATTTTGACTTTGCTAATGTGGCATTAATATTGATGACATGGCAACTTGCAAGAAATTAGTTGTCAAATTAGACAACTAGTCCTTATACTCACACGAAATTTGAACTTTAATATCTCTATTATAATTTATTAAAATCTCATTTTCAATTAAGTCAAATTTGATAATAATGATCCAATTACTAATAACAATCATATACATCTTTTTTAAATTAAAAAAAAACATATTTTAAAATTTTTTAAAAATTAATATTTAAAAAATTTTTTTATAATTTTTTCATATTTGCAATATGTTAAATTTTATATTTTCTAAATATTTTAATTTTTAAAAATCCTATTTAATTATTTTAAAATCAAATTTTGCTTTTTAAAAAAAATCAATATTTATTTTTAGGAATTTTCTAGATTTTTAAAAATAATAAATATATTTTTTCAACATTTTAATTTTTTAAAAATTTCATTTTTTGAAAGTTTTGTATTTTTGAAATTTTAACAATTTATTCAAAATAGTATAAATTTTCTAAAAAAACACAAAATTAAAAAATATAGAAAATTTTATAAAGATTCTAAAAATGTTAAATTTTAAAATATATAAAAAATAAATGTAATATTTAAAAAATAATAAAATTTTTAAAATTTGAAAATGTAAATTTTTAAAGAAAAATAAAATTGGATTTAAAAATTTTTTAAAAATGATTTTTAAAAAATTAAAATATTTAAAAATATTAAATTTAATATTTTTAATATTTTAAAAATATGGAGAATGCTAAGACAATTGGAAATATTGATTTTTTTAAAAATAAAAATTTATATTTTCATATGTCAAAAAAATTGATTTTTATTAGTAATTGAACTAAAAGTATCAAATTTTACTTGTATGAGGATGAGATTTGTATGAATTATACTTGAGGGACTAAACTTTAAATTTTTTGTAAGTACAATGATTATTTGCATAATTTGACAAATGATTTCATTTATCCATGTTACCATGTTATCAAAGTTAACTCCATGCTGTCAAAGTTAACGCCACGTTAACAAAGTTAACAATCATGTGATAATTATAAATTTTATAGAATTATCCTAGTTTTTATTGTATGAATTTCATCATTTTAGACTTAATTTAAGCTTGTTGATTATATTTTTACATAAGTAAAAATTTCAACTATTTTTTTTTCACTTTTTATACCCACTCATTCCTATTTAATAATAATAATATTAAAAATTATTTTTTTTGCACACTTATTTTTTTCTTTTCAATTAATTTATTTTAATGATTTCATATTATATAAAAAAATTAAGTAACTTAGTTTTAATTAGTTTTCAAGTAACTTCTTCTATAGAATGTTAGTTTAATAATTTGTTTAGAGTTTCTTCTTTTCATAAAGAGTTTAGTATGGAGAGAGCAGTAGCTTAAGAGTAGTGGCAAGAATGGCTAAGGAATTAAAGGGACCATGGCAAAACCTAACCCTTACAAAAGAAGAGAAGGAAAGTATTAAGTCAAGGGAAACAACCATTAAAATAGGGTTTAAAGAAAGAGAAACTTGGTTGTTGGGAAAACTGTTTACCAAACGTCCATTCAACATAGATTTCATGATAATGTGTGATACCCCAATCTCATATTAAGAGATTTTGAGGATCTGCTATGATATATAAATAGGGACTTGAACCTAAATTTGTGAGGTGTCTTTTATGAGACAAAACTGTGAGGCTTTTAGCTCAAAATAGACTTTACCTCATGGGTTGAGTGTGAATCTCCATAAATGGTATCAAAATAATTACCAATCAAACGAAAGCTAAATCATACACCGTGGGAGCCACCTTTAAAATCCTATGGGAACTAAGTGCTACATGGTAGGAGTTACCTTTGGAATTTGAATGTCTGGTGTGATCAAATGATTTGTATGTACTTGGTGTTAGGCTTACCCAATGTTTATTGTGCTTTTATAGATCTATGTGCTCGGTGTTGGACTTGATGGAGATGTCAAGTTTTAATGGGAAGAGTTTGTGACACCTTAATTTCGTATTGAGAGATTTTAAGGATCTGCTATGATATAAATATAAGTTTAAACTCAAACTTGTGAGGTACCTTTTGTGAGATAAAACTGTGAGACCTTTGGGTCAAAGTGAACAATATCTAGCAAGTTGAGTATGGGTCTCCACACAAGGACTTTCAAAGTGATATGGATTTTGGTCAAAGAGATAAAAGTCACTATTTTGGTACAACAAAAGATAAGCAAAAGGTGTTAGATAGGTGTCCATAGGTTTTTTTTTTCTTTCAAAAAAACCTTTTAGTTTTCAACAACTATGATGGTATGAAACCTGAAGATTATGTCTTTGACAAAGCAAACTTCTGTCTTACAAAACCTCTAAAGTGGTTTGTTGTAATAAAAAATATAAAGGAGATAATATATGGAAAAGGCTCGAATATAAAAGATTACCCACTTTCTGTTATGGCTTTGGGAGAATATGTCACAGGGAAGAGGAATGTGTAATGAGAAACAATAAAGGGAACATAAAAAATATAAAAAACAATATAAAGATTGGTTACATGCCTCTCTAGCAAAAAAAGGGTATTTGGCTTATATAGGGTCATTGAAAAAAGATAGCAAGCAAATGAGCCAAGGAACTCTTATGATTTTAAAACTGGTGGTGCAGTAAGAATAGAGGACAAAAGAGTGGCGGCAATAATTGAATCACCAATCAACCATAAGTTTGGATTTGCAAAGGTGTAAAAATCAAGGAATGAATCAAAAAGGAGATAAGTGTAAAGAAAAAAAATTCATGATCTTGGGATTTGACTCAAGAGAAAAAAGTACAGACAAAGATGAAAAAGTAGTTAAGTTGGTAACAATCACGGTCCTAGCAGATACAGATGTCGTTAATGTTAAAAATGATCAGTTGGAGGTCATTACAGAGAGTATTATGCAAGGCAACAAATCAGAGCCAATTAATGTTGAGGGACCTAGAATTGATGGGGTATCAAAGATTTCCAACGAAAAGGTTTCAGGGCAAAAAAACATGTGATGTAACAAAAGTGAGAAAGATCAAGCTAGAAGTTCAGGGCAAAGGTTGAAACAAGGAAATAGAAAGAATTGGAAAATAGGCATGTGGTTAGACATTAACAAATCTATAAGATATTGTAGGGACATATCAATGATGTCAAAAACAAAAACAAAATTTAAAGGGTATTTTTAAGGATAGAAGAAAGAGGAAGTGATGAAGGAAAAGGAATCCAAACTAGCATCCTCCGCCTATTTATATCTATTTCCCTTTCCCTTTCTTTTTTCCATTTTCTCTTTATTTTTTCCCTTTTAATCTAATCCCATCTTAGACATCACCAGCAACTACTTAATCAATTTATCCACCAAAAAGCTAATTCCCTAGAATCCTTCATTCGTTGCCTGCGGTTCTTGATCAATTTTCTCTCTCAAAAGCTTTTGGATCCTAAGCTTGCTGAAAAGGCAAGTTTCTTTACCTTACGTGTTCTTTTTTTCTTTTTTTTCTTTAATTATTTCAATAAAGGTGATTTTTATTGCTTGCTCTGCTATCTTATTTTGTGGAAATTTTTACTTATGGATCCTTATTGTGGTTTTGTTTCTATGATTTGAGGCAGTTTGATATCAAAAAGTGATTTAAGACTATTTATAGTGCTTCATATTATCCTTGCATGGAAGGCTTATATAAGTGTTACGAAGATCTTGCAAGTGGAAGCAAGGTTTACAGTGTTGTTTTCGCTGGGTGTCGATTTCATATCTGTTTATAACACTATATTATTCTTGTTTTTTTTTTTTTAGTTTTGCTCATGATAGGTCCTCATTTCATGAAATAGCTCGAAGAGGATTTATAGAGAGTTGGATGTATTATAATCGACACAAATGCCATTACTTTTCTTCTTGCTAAAGCTTAGGGTATATAATTTCTTCTTTTTTTTTTTTAATTTTCATGATATTAGTTAATTGATTTGTAATTAGGAATGGCAAAAAAATT